AAAGAAAAAAGCAGCAGGTGAGAAGTCAAGTAGAAACAGGAGGACACAATACAGCATATCTAAACTTCATTATAAGTATTTGTAGGTCTTATCTATTTGTAGTCAAAAGAATATGCTAAAAGGACTTGTTATTTTCACTGTAAAAAAAAGTGTGACTGAACAAGAATGCAGCTTATTTTATGGAAATTACAGAACCAAGCAGGAACATGCCACCTGTTTCAAGGGCCTAGTCACAAGACTAGCTACATAGATCATTTCCAAGAAAAATGAAGCCAGATGCTACTTAAACAGGGACTTCTGGTCTGGTGTAAATGAAAACTGGGCTCTTAACACATGTGGAAGGACATTTTATTGATAGCATGCAACTAAACTACTGAACATTTCTTCATATGGCAAGACAACCCCATCTGTTGAGAAACGTCAGACTTGGACAAGACTTACATACTTGTTATATACTAGAGAAAGATCTTCATATGTTAGCAAGGGGAGAAAAAAAAAAAGACCATTCATATGTTCCATCACAAATGGAGTAGGTCTGCAGAGTTAACCGTTCTGTTAGTTTATTCCCCGACTTCTGAAGGTCGGCGTTTCAAAAACAGAACTTAAGAACCACATGTGATGCAACCCAGGATATAGAGACAATTGTATCAACATTAAATGATAGTTACAGCTGAAGCATACTAAACCAAAAGCATTTTTCCCCTTTAAAGCAGAAAAAAAATTAGGCTTGCCCCCCTCACCTCGACCACTGCATGTTATGGGACATCAAGACAGCAAAATAGCTTTAGGTATAGTTCTGTACAAAGGATGGACACAACATTTGCATTAAGGAGGTGTTTAGTGCTTCCACAAAAACAGAAGTTGCTCTGGGTAAATAAATGCAATACCAGCCCCTCAAATTTTAAGTGAAGTGTTTAAATGAAGTGTTTTTATAATAGTCAAAAGGAGTTTGACCTTTTAGCTAAACAGACTGGATTGCAAAAATCCAAGTAAACTTCTTGGGCTTGAAGCATTTGATTTCACTATTCCCAATAATGGAAGTGACTGGAATTGTCACAAAGAAACTCTTGGAAATTTCCGAGTCATTTTGATAGCAAGATCCCCATCTTGTGGTAGGATGTTTCATTGTGAGACTCAGTTGCACATCTCCACGAAAGGGTTGGTTATATTCACTGATGCTTATCTTGCTAACTCAGAAAAAACAAAAAATGTTATCAGATGATATTTTCAGAACAGAATAGCCTGCCAGTATATTTATGATAAATGCCAATTTGCAGTGGACTCAACTCAGCCCACCTTCTAAAGTCATTTTCAAATACTAGCAACCCTTGTCCATGTGCTCATTTCTATCCATCTACCTACTTACCTTTCAAAAATTGCCAAATATAGCTGCTAGTTTTAGTGACAGTGAAAGGACTGATCCACTTAGTTGGCACCGTTATGCTTTAACTGGAGTTGTTTCCAAGTTTTAGAACTATCAGATGACAAATTAAAGTCCCTTTGCTGGTAGGAAAGATTAACTAAACAGTGCTTTCAGTTTACAAAAAAAAGATAACCCCACAATTCTCTCAGAAATGTTAATTAATTCTTGTTCATATTAATATCAATCACATACAGAAAAGAGTTTAGAACATAAAATAAGGGAATGTTTAAAATAGAGAAGCAAACAGTTCATGGAAATCAACAAGTCCAAATATGCAACTAAAAACAAAAAGTTGGACTGAGTTTGACAGAAACCTTACGCAAAATTTAAACGTTTCCATTTTCCTGATTTGAGCCAGAAACAAAGTAAAAACTGCTACAAGAAAAGCTATTCACAATATATCTAGAAATTTGTGGTGCTTATCCAATACACTTCTGTAGTTCACCCACCAAAATACTGGGTAGAGTTGTTCTGTTCATACCAAAAATTGAAACGCATCATGAATTACCAAATATTTACAGTAACCCTCCAAAATGGTTAAGGATTATGCATGCCGCAGAGTAAGCTAACTAACCAGATAAAACAAACCCTTCGCTCCAAATGATACCATCAAGTGTATCCATCACCTCTGCAGGAAGCATTCAAAATCAGATAGCAACAACACGTTTGATAAACACTGACCAATACCCCAAACCTTCCTCTTGCAAGTTGTATCATATGAAGTAGTAGTGTGAATTTTATTAGCCAAATGGCATTTCCCATTAGCACACATACAAAAACAACTTTAACTTGCCTTGATTTTAAAACAATTAGCAGATCTGGTTATTTAGGTTTTTGGCACTCACAATTCTACAGGAAAATCCAAATTTCAGACCCTCAGCTAGGCTTTCTGTAGGCTTGATAAAGTTTGACCCACTGGATTAATGCAGTCTTAAACACAGATTTTAAAAAGAGTACAAAAACCTTCCATGTTTACAGGGACCACAGTATTTCGGAAGTGGAAGACTCAAGTTAAATTCCATATTTCATCCCATCTAGCCTATTCCCCAGAAAGAAACATTGGGAAACTCAGCTTGCTACTAAAATGTGAACAAACAAGTCAGTTGATAGTAAAACAGCCTTTTATTTGTTAATATCACATAAGAAAATTTAAGCAAGTTACACTAATCTTTAAAAACACAACTAACGCGTTTAACATGAACCCCCCCCACCCCCCGTTAAGAATCTAAGTAAAGAAAAAAGTACCAATAAAAAAGTTTTGCTGCATCCTTCATCCTCTGAGTGCTTACGTGATCATTAGGCCATGTTCCTTTTTCAAACAAAGTTTTTCTATAAAAGTTTATTAACTTGATTGCGTAGTAAAAACACAAAAAGAGTCTTCAGTACAAAAGAGTTCATAGCATTGAAAATGCTTCCCCTCCCCAACAGCACCTAATATAAAAAGAGGTCAACAGCAGATGGCTAATCTAAGTGGTGTAATCTAAAAAAAACAAACCCCCAAACACAGTGGCATATTTCCCTTCTAACAAAGATAAAAAGAAAGCCTGACCTAAAAATGAGGAGTCATTTTCAAAACAGTACATAGTTCAGTGTCAGCAATTCACATCTTGCAAGAAAGTTATGGATATGGTTTCTTTTACAAAACTTCCTTTTCAGTGACAAAGGAAATTAAGGCCATCAGACTTGCAGCTTAAAAATTCACAAAGGAAATACAAAAATATGTTGTGCTTCTGAGAAGACTGCTCTGTAGGCAAGGGTTACCATCATTTGAGGAAGCTGGTTGGTTGACTGGAGGAGTTACATAATGGCACAGCTTCTGTTGCCTGCCCTAGGATCTCCCTGTTATGAAAAGAAGGAGAATTAGCTCTGAAAACCTCTAGACTGAAGAGCTTCACAATGTAAAGTTATACACAGCAAACGTACGCAACATGTAAAGTTATACATTTGGTACAGTTTAAATGAAATCTACCAAACAGCTTTAACTTGGAGTGTTAGAGGAATATTATGTAGCCTGTTTTGGAAGAGGGAATAAGAGAAGGGTAACCACCAAAGCAAAGTTTAAAAGAAACCTTCCAGAGAAGAATGCTGAGAAATCCTTTAAGTTACATAAATGGCAAGATTTATAGGATGTGCAAGATACTAGCAGGGGTTTTGTGGGTTTTTTGGTTTTGTTTTTTTTTTTGGGGGGGGGGGGTATTGCAAGCAAAGTCAGCATGCCTATTTACTCAATTCTAAGATGAGGTGTGTGCCCCCTCCCCCCATTCAGCATGGTGGCAGGGCAGGAGGTGCAACTGTGGGATCACAAATTGGATCCCAACCCCATGCTCCCCCTGTCCTGGCAAGAAGCAGCTCCCACAGCTAGGAACTCCCTCAGTTGAGCGGCTCCCAATTGCAGGGTTGCCCCACACACCCCTGGGGCTGTGGGACCAAAGCTGCCATTACCCACAGCCCCAGGGATTTCATGCACACTCAAGGCAGATGCACAACCTGGCTACCAGGACCCAGCTAGGTCCCAGCACTCCGTGTCCATAGCTGAAGAACTCTGGGTCCCTGTGCTGCCAGGACCCAGCAGCTGCTGGGCTGAGTCCCACTGTTCTGGGACTGGCAGGGGCATGGTGCACCCATCCAGCTATAAGGGTAGCACACATTTTCAAGGTCTAACTTTATAGCTGGTTGGAGCATTTTATGGCATGATAGCTACTTTGCACATGTAGCTGGTCTGAGGGTAACTGCACAATTTACCACTTAATTGCACAGTAACTAATGCGTAGAGGGCACCTATAGTAAATAAGCCTTTTGGTGTTGCCTAATATTATGCATGGTTTGTACTCTACACAAGTAAGTACAAACTTGCTGCTTAAAAAGTGTGTTTATGGAGTAGCTGTGCTAAAACCTTCAGCAGTTGCAAAAGAGGCAAAATGCATAAATCCTGGATGAACTAAGTCTATGGGTACCTACAGGTAAGTTTCTTTCAGTCAGTATTTTCAAATTTGCCTCATTTCCATGTGCTCATGGACAGCAGCGTCTGACAATAAGGGTGACGTGGGAGCAAAGGGACTACCTAGCTTCCCAGATTTAGTTTTCCCTGCTGTAGCAGTGGGAGTGAGACAAAATTAAAACACAAACCTTCAATAATGTTATACATGTTTTAAAATAATTGTCCATACATAGAATCCAACTATTAAGGGGTCATCATCTTATTCAAGTAAGTATGGTACTTTCCCTGTGGCAGTGGCAGGAGGGATGAATTTGAAAAGAACTCTCCAATAACTAATGTCTAAAAATCCAACAACTGGGGGGGGGTCATCTTAAACTCAGGGTTGTCTTAGATTCAGGTAAAATATAGTAGTTATGACATTTTTCTTAAAAATATGAATTGGTTAAAGGGGTTGACAATCAAATGAACTATGTGGTCCCAGGAGCTGAACAGTAGCTGGAAGCACTTAAACCACAACAATTTAAAAAACATTAAAGCCCGATTATACAACTTTATGGAATGTAAGCCAAGCCCAGCAACTGGAATTATTTCCCACAGAAGCCAGAGCTTTTTTCCACCCCCATTGTGTGCACGCTTGCACGCCCATACAACACAAACTAGTATATCCTGTATTGCCTTTGCCTCAGTATACACCAGAAATCTAAGTCATAGCTGATGTGGGAAAGTAAGAGTATTTTTACACAACACAAGGTAAAGTGTTGTGCTGAGCCACTCTGTACTAGTCATATCTGTAGAGCAAGAGTAGCCAGTTTGGAGTATCAGCCTTTTGGCTAAGATCAAGTGTATGTTTCAATTGTAAGTCTGTTTTCTTCCAAATTTGCTATAAAAACTGCATTCTATTTACATGCAGCATTTACCTGCAATTGAAATCTTTATAGTCCTGACTAATGTACTTGCAGCATTTTTATTGCATGCACAAAAATAAAGTCAAAACTTTCTTTTGGGGGG